CTTCAAAGTATGTGATCGGAGGTAGGAAAAGAAGTAACCCTAGTAATATTCATAAATCATGAAAAACACAAGGTATAGATATAGAATGATAGAGAGAGATAGAGAGACCACCAGAAGAAATTTTTTCTTTGATTTGATTGTATAGAGAGATGGGCTTGCATGTTAGTCGATGTAAAAGAGTATTTTGATGATTGGTTGGTGTTAAGGAATTGTTCTTTAATGTCTCGTGCCTTCAGTTCGACGTTATTTCTCTTGCCTTTGATGTAGCATTTTGTCCCTGCAACTACTTCGTTTGACTTCTGGGCTCATTGAACCAAAATCCTCAAATTATGTGATCGGAGGAAAGAATATGAATATCCCTAGTAATATTCACCAACTCGCATATAAGTGTGTTTAGATGATTTTCTAAATATCATGTTTATTTAAAAAAGTAACGGACTATGCACGAGGTCCCACATTTTTCACATCGCCAAGTTTATAGAAATAACCACCTGCTAGCGGTTGTCTATTTATATCCATTAAGTGTTTATTACACTGCCGCTAGCGATAGGGATAACATGTCGTGAATTCGTGATTTAGCTCATTGGATGGAACCTTCTTTTTGGGTGTACAACAAGATATAAGATATGGTTGTATTATTCATTTTTAATGTCATTATATTCCTTTTAAACATTCATGACATGTTTGATGATTACTAAAATTTTTATAGTCCTTAATTGGACTCACATAATCGCAGTCTTTTACATAGATTAAAGAAGCCAAATGGTCATTATGACTCCAAATTTTAGCATGAACCACTTCATAACATACAATAAACTTGATTAATATTTGATCATAGAGACATACAAGTAGAAAAATTTGCTCAATAACCTCTTTCATCTTACTCGAGAGTTTATTGAATGCCTATTTCTCAGTGAGTCATGTTTTGACTGCATCTGTGTGACTCAATTTTGGCATATCACAAAACATGTGTCTCGGGGCATAGGCCCCCTAGGTTTTCTAATATAGCTCTGGCAGGGTCTATGTATATGTCAGACCGGATAAAAAGTTTTTCAAATTGTTTTTGTTATTTTATATTATAACAAAATAATTATATAATTTTAAAAATTAAGTATATAAAATACAATAAACTTGATTAAGATTCTATGGGAATTTTTTCCATATAACCTACTTATCTTTAATATGGGAGGTGTCGTCGCTCTAGTTAGAGTCATGTGACTGTTTGGTACTAGGTACCTATTCCTTAATGTCTGCCTCATTCAGCTCGAATTTATTTTTCTTGCCTTTGATCTAGCATTCTAAAGCTTCAAAGTATGTCATCGGAGGAAGGAAAAGAAGTAACCATAGTAATATTCATAAATCATGAAAATCACAAGGTATATATAGAATGATAGAGAGAGAGAGAGAGAGAGAGAGAGAGAGAGAGAGAGACCGCCACAAGACATTTTTTCTTTGATTTGATTGTATAGAGAGATGGGCTTGCATGTTATTCAATATAAAATATCATTTTGATGATTGGTTGGTGTTAAGGAATTGTTCTTTAATGTCTCGTGCCTTCAGTTCAACGTTATTTCTCTTCCCTTTGATGTAGCATTTTGTCCCTGCAACTACTTTGTTTGGCTTCTGGGCTCATTGAACCAAAATCCTCAAATTATGTGATCCGAGGAAAGAATATAAATATCCCTAGTAATATTCACCAACTAGCATATAAGTGTGTTTAGGTGATTTTCTAAAAATCATGTTTATTTAAAAAAGTAGAGGACTATGCACGAGGTCCTACATTGTTCACATCGCCAAGTTTAGAGAAATAACCACCTGCTAGCGGTAGTCTATTTATATCCAATAAGTGTTTATTACACAGCCACTAGCGATAGGGATAACATGGCGTGAATTCGTGATTTATGCTCATTGGGTGGAGCCTTCTTTCTGGGTGTACAACAAGATATAAGATATGGATGTATTATTCATTTTTAATGTCATTATATTCCTTTTAAACATTTGTGACATGTTTGATGAGTACTAAATTTTTTATAGTCCTGAATTGGACTCACATTATCGCAGTCTTTTTCATAGATTAAAGAAGCTAAATGGTCATTATGACTCCAAATTTTAGCATGAACCACTTCATAATGTTAGAGCAAAGTTTGGTTCTAATCATATCTTAGAGTTTTGATGATAAAAATGAAATAAAATTTTGTGAAATACATTTTATACTCTGACTTGTGTGTTCTATAAGTTCAGATGATGTTCTGACTCATGCATCTTAGAAAGAAACAACATTCTACGCAAGTCTAAAGCAAACTCAAAAGGAAGCACTCCAAAGCAAACTCTGATTAATAGCAATACTAAGCAACGTCTAATAAAGCTAGCTGAAGCAAAGATCTGAAATAGAAGCACGCTGAAAGCAAGATCTGATAATGCTTGATTAAAGCAAACTCTGATGATCACATATTGAAGAATACTCTGATAGAAGAAAAGATAGAGTATACTCTGAAATGGCAACGCTGCAAAGAAAACACTTAAACTTCCAGAGACAAGCTCTGACAGTACCATTGGTTATTAAATGCTAATACGGAAAACACACTCAAGTGTACTATGCACGAGCATTGGAAACGTAAAGACCAAGCCTACACGCATCATTAAATGCATGCACTCTCATCAAGACAGTAACGATCAAGAATTGGAAGCTATATATAGAAGACCTTTTGTTTCAAAGAAAGGTTACTGATCCAAGAGAAACAATCTTACGCTCACTGTTTTCATACTTGTAAACCAATATTGTATAGTGGGTAGATCTTAAGCATTGAGCAATAATCTTAGTGATAAATCACATTTTGTGATAAAGCTTATTAGAAGCATTTAGTTTCACTACTATTAAGAGATAATTTTGTAAGTGTTCCTTGAGAGACCAGTTGGGTCAGATTTCTCAAGAGGGCTAGGACTAGTTGAGTCTTAGAGGTGTTAGTCACTTGCAGTTGGCTTGTGCATTGTATTGTTAGTCACAACAGTTTGGTTGTGTATTTGTAATCAGTTTGATTATAGTGGATTAAGTCCTCGTTGAGAGAGGAGAAATCACCTTGGCGGATGGACTGGAGTAGTTTGAGTTTCAAGCGAACCAGGATAAAAATATTCGTGTCCTTCCATTCACTACAAGAAAATTGGCAGATTGCGACAAGTATTTTTGTAGATTACGATGGTTAAAACCGTCGCAATTTGCTTTCCACGACGGTTGCTTTACCATCGCAGAAGTGTGTGTCCCCAACCTATTTCGTGACGGTTACAAAAACTGTCGTTCAAGTTTACGACGGGTTTGGAGCTGACATAATCAAGTATTGGTGACTGTTTGATACCGTCGTGACTATCTTTTGAGTTTCTTTTAATTATTGATGGCGACGGTTCGATACTGTCGTGAATATCTTTTGAAATTGATTAAATTGTTTATGGCGACGGTTCGATACCGTCATGACTTTTGTTGATTATTTTTAATTGTTGATTACGACGGTTCGGTACTGTCGCCATGACTTTTGTTTATGTCTTGATTTTTTTTTCTATTATATATATTTTTTATTTAAATTATTATCTATGTAAAAAATTTTAAATATAGTTTTTTTTGTGTTATTTTTTTCTTTAATATATTTATTTATAGTATTATTTTTTGTTTTATTTTCTATCACTTTGTAATATAGTAAAAATAATTTCAATAAAAAATATTTAACATCAAATAAGCATTATAATATCCAAAAAAATGTGTGTTCCATAATCATGTAAAATGCGAGTTCCATAATCATGTCAAGTAGTACAAAAAACCCAAAATATATCAATTCCTAATCTTATAATAATAAGTATCATTATGCCAAAAATACATGAGAAAGTTCACAATCTAATTATCTCGATCATAGCAAAGTCTAATTTGTCCCCCCTGAAGTTCCATTATCTCCAATACGGTAGCTAGTCTCAGATGAACGTCTACCATCAGCGGGTGATTAAAATCCCTAAAAAAAGGTATTAAAATAATAATCTTTAAAATAATACTCATAAAATTTAACTTTAAACGCGTCAAAATAATATACCTGTCTTCCACTAAAATTCTGCATTTGCATTAAGAGTTCAATTTCCTTTGTCCTCGCCTTGTCCCTTTGCGTTAAGAATATGATTGCCTGTGTTAATTCATCAATTTTTGAATTCTTTTCTTTAAGTGCATTAATTTCTTCTTGCATTTCCTTTATTTGTTCACTTTTTGCAGAAGAAGATGTCGATCTGGAAACGATCGACATAGATGTTGTTTGACAACTTCCGCTAAAACAAACAATATACCTTATGAATAAAACAAAAATATTTTAGGATACAAGACATGAATGACTTCGAACATAGAAAAGTTAGCTTTTTTGCAAACAAAATTACTTCAAACAACATCTACAAACAAAATGACTTCAAACATAGAGCAAACCAGTTATAGATCTACGTATTATGTGTAAAAGTAAATACAAAGGAATTGGTTTGTAACATAACATGTTTGTAACAGGTTTGTAACATCGAAAACATGTTGATGAAGCTCAGAACAAATGTATACGATGACTGATGAACTGGCAGTACCTGTGAATGTAACCAAATATAATGTAGAACTCCGACGGTGAATTGAAAGTATAGGGCTTTCATCATGTTCTTGACAACTGATTATTTGATTGTCGCCTATTATTAAAAATTGGAAGTGTAATGAGTTCACATATGACATTGGATTCATTGGTACTCAGAAATGGCATAGAAATTACTATGTTGATAGTAAAATAAAAAAATCAAGCAAATATACAACTCTTATCTATAGCAAGGAACTAAAGTAGGGTAAGCTGTTGACATACATAATTAGAAAATGATTGCAAAAACCTTCATGAACAGATGATATATGAATTGGGCTTGAGGAATATATATATTTATTGGCAACACAAACATATACAGTCAAGTTTATCACTATCATCATATATAGAAGCAAAATCATGGCTTCCTCAATTCACATAACCAGATTTTAACAGCTTTACCTTTACCAACAAAGCATCCATCTTCCTTTTATCAATCCTGAGTGGACTTTTCATCTCCATCAACATCTTCTGACCCAATGCTTTAATTGATGATTCCCCTTTTTCACTTCTATGCTTTCCAACCCCACAAACCACAATAATTTCAGCAATAATCTCAAAGTTGGAAGCATTCAACAGTAATCTTCACAAACACTCCACGATTGAATGAAACCGCATGGGTAAATGCAATAATTATAAGAGGAAGTTTTTACTATTAGCCTATTAAATGAATATAATACATGGTATATCTTGTGTATACCATAGGAGTACTCAAAGTATATTGGTCTTGATGAACTTACTTGGCACAGATCGACTAAGATGATTAAAATTACCAGTCTCCAAATTTTGAGATAAATGCAGCCTGGCCCGCATAACATATCACAAGAAGCGGATATATTAAGCAAATAAATGTAATCTACAAACAACAGACCCAAGCATGATGCACAAGTTGTTTGTTACTAATAATTTTCAATTACAATCAAATATACAAGAATTGCATATCAAGTTATATGCATTACAATACCTTGATTGATTTCTTAGAAAAATGGCCTAACCCTGCAAACATTGCCTCTGATCCTGCAACATAGCAGAAAAAGTAAACAAATTAATTTCATAACTCAACTATGTAAAAAATTTAAATTATTTATAGATACTTTAACCTTAAATTAATTTTAATTTTTCTAATTTTCTCAAATTTCTCATTTCTCTTTCATAAATGATCAAATTTCTCATTACTCTTTCATTCCATAAGTGAACACTAACTTCATAATATAAAATTATCCACGAAGAATACGTTAAAAACGGAACATACGTGCCACATCAAATCTTTAAGAAACATATATTATGGTTAAAAGGCTAACGATGTGCACATAAGACTGATTTGTTACCAAAACAAACTTAGAAATTAACTTATAACAAGCATCTAAGTTAAAGGACAGCAAAATGTATTTAGCCAAACATGAAAAGCATCTAAGTTAAAGGACAGCAAAATGCATTTAGCAAAACATGTATATGATCATAAATTACCTTAACAATTCCAAACACATTCCATTCAAAATTACTGCCATCTTATTTAACTGTTTTTGGCAAAAGCTGGCTACTTTAACCAGAATTGATTCATGTTCCCCAACAAAAGTGATACATAGCCCAAAAACAAACTACCTACACAGTTTTAAACCCATTCCATCCAAAATTACTTTCATATACTAAAGCGTTGTTTTGGCAACAGGCAAGAAGACCATAATGCTTAATCTTCCCGAACAAAAATCCATACAAAATTAAAAAGCATCAACAAAATTTTATAACAATATTACCCGAGCAACATCCAAAGTGTCAAAACAACCAAAATCTTCATTGTAACAACATTTTGCCCATTCATGGATCAACCATCACAACTCACAACCGGAAGTTTGTAATCTTCGACAGCACTACACTTGTTCATATGCAAAGTACTTCATCTTCCAACAATAAGAGGATTCTTGTTCTTGTAAATGTAATAGCTCATACACAATTTCTCTAAAGTTGCAACAGAATGCTGCATAGGATTTAGCTTTATATCCATCATCATTCTCTGCCATAATAACAACAAAACATTAAACAGCCTCCTAACAGCAACATTTTCACTTTACAATGTTAATATATCTTCAATTGAAATTAACATGACAACAGATCAAACCTGAAAATCAGCTCCATATTTCTCAACTAGCCGACTAATATAAAGACGCTGAATTGAAGTCAAAGGTTGAGGAAGTGCACTTTTATAAAATTCCAAGTGCCGATTAGATAGTAGCATCCAATATTTACGTATGCCATAAATACTTGCCATCCCGAATCAACAGCTACACCTACAAGAATGCATGCATTTTTATAATTAAGCATTAACCATAATTACTTTTTGAATGAAGTTGATCGGTCTTTTTTACCTGATAGAACAGGTTGAACACTATTGAGAACAATGCTGACTCCCAAGAGAATTGACATATCATTAACAGTTTGAAGAACATGAGTGCTCGAGGTGAAAATATATGCAAACTCTCTTTTGAATATCACTATAAGAATACAAAAGATTAATCCAATCACTTATGATTGTACGAGTGATACTTGCATTGCGAATTTTGCTGACTTCCATTTTCCTGCTCCAAGTTCGTTCGCCACTCGCACCCTATAATATAACTTGTGTCATCATTTGATAAATTTCACTAGAATAAATTATGTTAAACATTTAATTTTTCACTCTTCTCTAGTAGAATACCTTACACGCCATCAACCAATCACATATGGATAATCCACTATGCTTCAGTATTGTTGTTACTCTAAGAAAATATCAATCTTAAATGTTTATTTTTTCAAACTAAAAAATTATTAATTTTAATATAAAGTGAATGTTTTTCGATTAAAGAGATATATACGTACAGTTGAAAAGTGTTAAATATTAATAATTTATGAAATATTTAAAAAGGATAATGGTAGAAAAAATTTAGTGTTTTCTCCATTTTCTTCTCATACGAGAGGTGAAATGAAGAATCAATTATGTTCTATAATTTTACTTCAATTTCGATGCAAATGATATTGTAAAAATAGCATACCCGGTACCGGCAAAGAAGGCAAATGGAATCATCATTTCACATCCATTGATAGTCATACTGCAAAACCAATTCCAATACTGTAATAACTAATAAATATAAAACTTTTAAATCTCAAATACTTGTTACTCACTAATAACTTACCATACAGACAATGCATCAACAGCAACTGTTGCATTTTCCAACTGACCTGTCATAAGCAGCAGTATCCTGTAATACCAATTCTCTAAACAAAGCATCACCCCTGAAGCTAATGACAGTTTGAAGAATTCCCAAAGGCCAGAAAATGCTTCCATTGAAAAACCATTCCAAGTCAAAGGACAACCCCCACAAACTGTGTACCCAAACATCCCAATTACCAATACCCACCATGAAACATCCAAAGCTATTGCAGCACCAATAAGCCCAAAATCCAAAACATAAACCAACAACCAACTCAATACAACATTCACCACTAAACCCAAAAGAGAAACCCATGCAATCACACCTGTTTTCAGCTGGCACTGTAGAAACCTCTGAAGAGGAAACTGAAACGCAAAACTGAAATGCAAAGGTATAAGCCATATAGCTACGATACCACTCGATTCCGCCACCTCATGAGGTTGTCCTATGAGTTTCAGAAATGGAGTAGCAAACACATAAATTCATAAAATTCATATCTACACCACAAATTCATAAAATTTACATGCATTTCAAAAAAATATAAACAATTTCTGATACTAAAATACACGAAAATACCGTCTTCTTCGAGGTCACTGCCGGAATCGTTGGGGTCATCGGAGACAGAAGGAGGAGCTCGAAGAGAATCAGTGAGGGAGTTAGGGTCATTGACGACGCCGAAGGAATTGTAGTTTTGTGTGACGCTGCCTTTTTCATCCCATTTAGGGTCTTCTACAAGGGATTGTAACAGTTTGGGAGGAATGGTGAAAGCGGGTTTCAAAACTTTAGGGTTCTTCTTTGGAAGACCCACACGAACCTTAGGTCGAGAATTCTTGTATTTTCTTCGTGAGTAGAAAAAGTGATTGCAGGAGTAGAAAGTGAATTGATGTTTTATGTATTTTAAGAGCTTTTTAACTTTTTTACGGCGATGGGTGTTTTACCGTCGTGCCCATGAGAATTTTTAAAGGTTTTGGGTGCGACAGTTGTTTTACCGTCGTGAAATGAATTTTAGGACGGATAATTTTACCGTCGTGAAAGGTTTAAGGGTGCGACGGGTGCTTTACTGTCGTGATATTCCTTTTAGGACGGTTAATTTTACCGTCGTGACTAGTTGTTGGTGAAAAATCAATGTTAAAAGTGTTAAATGGGGGCCGACGGTTGTTTTACCGTCGTAATAATAATATTATGATGGTTAATTATACCATCACAAAATAAATATTAGGGACGGTTGGTGTCAACTGTCGTAAACACTGTCTCTATATGTCAATTACGACATTTATCACATAACTGTCGCAATTTTTGTGTCGTTAAACACTAATTTTCTTGTAGTGATTGATATTGCGCGAGAAAAAGAAAAAACTTATTCAACCCCCCCCCCCCCCCCCCCCCCCTTCTAAGTGTTTTCTCACCCTTCAATTGGCATCAAAGCTCTAGTTCTGGGTGCAAACACCTAACAGTGTCAGAAAAAGATCCAGAAGGAAAACACAATGGCAAGTGAATAAAACAACAACTGCATCAAACCTCCTGTGCTTAATGGAGAAGATTTTGAATACTGGAAGGATATACTAGAAAGTTTCTTTCTAGGTCATGATGCTGATCTATAGGATTTGGTCCTAGATGGGTACACTCATCCAGAAGATAAAGACGAAAACAAGATTGACAGAAAGAACATGGATAAACAACAGAAGTTAGATTTCAAGAATCACCACAGAGCTAGAAATATCTTTCTGAACGCTATCTCAAAAACTGAATATGAGAAAATCACTAACAGAGATACAACACATGACATGTTTGAGTCTCTCAAAATGACTCATAAAGGAAATGCTCAAGTAAAAGAGACAAAAGCGCTGGCTCTCATCCAGAAATATGAAGCCTTCAAAATGGAAGAAAATGAGTCTATTGAAGCTATGTTCTCGAGATTCCAAACTCTGATTGCTGGCCTGAGAGTTCTGAATAAAGGATACACCAAGGAAGACCATGTTAAGAAAATTATTAGAAGTTTACCCAGAAGACGGGCACCTATGGTTACTGCATTCAAAGTATCAAAAGATTTGAATGATGTATCCCTTGAAGAACTTATCAGTGCTTTAAGGAGTCACGAGATAGAACTTGATGAACATGAGCCTCAAAAGAAAGGTAAGTCTGTCGCCCTTAAATCTGTTAAAAAAATGTGAAACTAACGCTTTTTAGGAAGAAGAAGGAAACTCTGAAGATTAATCATCAGAAGAATATGAGTTATCTCTGCTCTCCAGAAGGATCAACCAGATATGGAAGCACAGACAAAAGAAGTTCAGAAACTACAAGAGGTCAGAAGATAAACCAGAATCTTCTAGACATAAGAAGTCAAGCAGGAGAGATATAGTCTGCTATGAATGTAAAGAGCCAGGACACTACATAAGTGATTGTCCTAAACTTCAAAGAGAAAGACCAAAGAAATTTTTTGGAAGAAAGAAAGGCATGATGGCCACCTGGGATGATTTAGAATCTTCTGAAGCTGAATCTGGCTCAGAAGATGAAGACGCTAATCTAGCGTTCATGGCTACCACATCGGATGACGATGACTCAGACTCTGATTCAGAACCAAAAGAGGTATTCTCTGAATTTTCTAGAACTGAACTTGCTGAAAGCTTACCTGAAGTTCTTGAAAACTACAGTAAACTCAAAATCAAATACAAGAAACTCAAAAAGAATCTTGCATCTGATGTTGAGAAACTTGAAACAGAAAACTCTGAACTTAAAGAAAATATTTTTAAACTCAAAGAGGAAGTTCAAAAATTTCAAAAGATCCCTACTTCAGATTCTGCTTCAAGTTCAAAAGATATTCTTAAAGAATATGACTCTAGTTTTCAAACGTTTCTTGCTAAAAGCATAGATAGAAGCAGAATGGCTTCAATGATCTATGGTGTTAGTGGAAATTGAAGAAGAGCCATTGGATATAAAGCTCCCAAAGGGAAAGAAATATATAAACCTAAGCCTGTTGACGAAATGGTTATCACATATAAACCACTACACAAACAATTTAATTTTGGGCACACACATGATATTAAATACACTTCTCACTTTGAAAATTCTTATGCAAAATCAAAGTTCAACCTAAACTATTGAAACTTTAAACAAAAAGGACCCAATAAGAAATGGGTACCTAAGGAGAAAATAATCTATGTTGCAGATGTCCTTAACAGCTCAGTTGAAACACCAGTCATGGTACCTGGACTCTGGATGCTCGCGACATATGACGGGAAGAAAGTCTATGTTCCAAAGTCTGGAACTTAAATCTGGAGGAGATGTCAAATTTGGAGGAAATCAAAAAGTAAAGATTATTGGTTCTGGAACCATTGGAAACAGTAACCTTTCTTCTATAACTAATGTTCTGTTAGTAAAAGGATTAGCGCATAACTTGCTGTCCATAAGTCAATTAAGTGACAACGGTTATGACATTATCTTTAATCAAAAATCCTGTAAAGCTGTTAGTCGAAAAGATGGAACAATCTTTTTTACTGGCAAGAGAAAGAACAACATCTATAAAATTAATCTTTCTGATCTTAAATCTCAAAATGTAAAATGCCTTATGTCTGTTAGCGGCGAGCAATGGGTCTGGCACAGAAGATTGGGACATTTTAGCATGAGAAGAATATCTCAAATTAACAAACTCAATCTGGTCAGGGGACTTCCCAATCTGAAGTTCAACTCATAAGCTCTTTGTGAAGCATGTCAGAAAGGAAAATTTTCAAAACCTTCTTTTAAGTCAAAAAATGTTGTTTCTTCCTCTAGGCCATTGGAACTTCTTCACATTGATCTGTTTGGACCAGTTAAAACTGCATCCATCAGAGGCAAGAAGTATGGATTGGTCATTGTTTATGACTACAACAGATGGACATTGGTTAAGTTTTTAAAACACAAGGATGAGTCACATTCAGTGTTCTTCGACTTCTGCATCCAAGTGCAAAATGAAAAAGATTTTAGAATCATAAAAGTTAGAAGTGATCATGGAGGAGAATTTGAAAACCATTATTTTGAAAAGTTTTTTTAATGAAAATGGCATTTCTCATGATTTATCTTGTCCTAGAACTCCCCAACAAAATGGAGTTGTAGAACGAAAGAATATAACCTTGCAAGAAATGGCCAAAACCATAATTAACGAAACTAATATGGCTAAACACTTTTAGGCAGAAGCAGTGAACACAACGTGTTACATTAAAAATAGAGTCTCCATAAGACCTATTCTTGAAAAGACTCCTTATGAATTATGGAAAAACATAAAACCCAACATTTCATATTTCCATCCTTTTGAATGCACTTGCTATATTCTGAATACTAAAGATAATCTGAACAAGTTTGATTCTAAGGAACATAAGTGCTTTCTGCTTGGATACTCTGAATGCTCAAAAGGCTATAGGGTATATGTTGTACCCCAAAATTTTCCCTCTCATTTTATCAAGATTTTCCTCACAAAACTCTTTGGACTCAAGACCAGATTAGGGTTTGCTCAGCTCAAGACCTCTCCTTGCACTGATGACTTGAAATTAGGGTTTGAGTTTGCACAAGGATTTTTGGACCATCAATGCTTCATGTGACTTTCATACACCATCTTGGACCCCTAAGATTGCTCATACCAAGTTTTAAGCCATGAATCATTTTTTTTGCCCAATCAATTGGACAGTTGACCTAAAAATCAGCTGTATTGGGGAAAAAGTCAACCATGACCAATTTACAGTCAAACCACATAATTTTTTATCCACATCAACATTATAAACTCATATGAACCATTTTATCAAGTTTGGACCACAACTCCTCAAGAAATTTGATAAAATCATCAAAAGGGCAAAATGGTCAAAATTAGGGTTTTGACTGTAGAAGGGCAATTTCTGATTTTTGACCTAGCCATTGGCAAATTGAGTTCAAGCATGGTTTCAAGGACTCAATGTCATCATCTTTACCTAATCACAAAGTTCAAAATATCTCAAGTGCATTGGATTGACAGATGAATTTTCCAGTCAACTGATCAAAAATCAATTGTACACTGAAAAGTCAAACTTTGACTTTTTGGTCAAAATCAAGTGCCAAGGGTCATAATTCATCAAGATGTGTCAAAACATGAAACTTGTTCACCAAGAAACCTAATTTTGAAAATTAGGGTTTTAATTTGAAATTTTTCATAACATAGAATTTTTCTAAGTTATGAAAATTTCTTATTTTTTTCCAACTTTCCACAACTTTTTCACCATGATGCAATTGGATTGAAAGGAAACTTCCAACATGAAAATTTAGTCCTCAACAAAGTCTACAACTTTGATTCACAAAGTTTTTCCAAAAGATGCTTGGATCTCAAGTTATGAATTTGTGAATAGGGGTCCATAAACTTTTTAACTTAGTAAAAATTTGCCCTAGTTTAGGCAGATTTTTGACCTAAATTCATGGCAACTTTTCACATAGTTCCAAGAGGAATATCAAAATTCATTTCAAAGATGGATTGTAGATCATATTACAAGTTTCCAAAATGTCCAAGAACTCTCCAAGATCATTTTTGGTTAGGGAGAATCGAAGAAATGAAAATGGCAATTTATCACTTTTGTTCAAGGCATTTTTCACATTGGTACAAGTTGCAAATCAGTTTCAAACATGCTTGTACTTGGTTTTACAGGTCCTAATCCCTTATACACTCCATAATTAAATGCAAACACATTGGATAATGGCCTTGTTCTGACTTTTGAAGCATTGCACATTGAATTAATCCAAAAATGGCATAAAGTTCACATTGCTACTTTGATAAAGCTTGCTTTTTACAACTTTGTTTATCTTGAGCCATGGACCTAATATCTTGTTGAAAACAATATCCACAAACTTCAGGCAAAGTACACCAACTCTCATCAGACCTTAAGCTAGCCTGTACAGGCCTTTGGCTTTGTCACTTCACCTTTTCTTCAAAAATAAGAAAACTTGCAAAAGTCAATAAAACTCATGTATCTGATAAAGGCAAGGCTTTGTATCATTCCAAACGACTTCAGAATATAGTAACCATCCTAGGACATGAATTCATAACACCTCAAACACCCTCAAACACAAAAAAAACACCATTTCTGTCCAAAATAGGGCAGCCTCTGCAAAATCAAAGCCATTTCCATATTGCCTCGTGTGTTTTGCTTTGAATCACTTCAAACACATTCTATACCTCACATCCAAGTTATCCAAGCCCCTGTCTTGCAACTGTAAGCTCAGTTTCACAGTTCACCATTTTCATTTTGCAAGGTTGCAGGTTGACTCATGCAAGGAGTTTTAGCCATCTACAAGACCAGCTAAGCATTGGAAAAGGTTGAGGGGACCTCAAGGAAGCTCACAAGAACTTCAGTCCTCACTCAAAGTCCCCACATTGCCATATCCAAACTTAACTGAACAAGGTATTTGTCAAGTTTCTATCTCTCTATTTAGGCATCCTTAGGCTTAGGTTTATGAAGCAAAGATGTAGTCTTTAACATGCTTGAACTGTACATATGCATAGTTCTTATTTATATTAACTGAGTAGTGAGAATTTGAAGCTTGAAGTTCATGAAAATTTTAGGTCAGAAATTAGGGGTGATAAAATTCTCCTTGATCTTTGAGAGTTAGGTCATGATTTTTATATCATTGGAATCGTGAGTTAACATGCTACAAGTTTCATGTTGCAAGATTTTGTTTTTATGCACGTATGCAAGAGTTACAGGTTGAAGCACAGGGCGCGCGCGTTGCTGTCTGGAGGTCAGGGAGGAAGCTGTCCTGGGCCAGGGCCTTGGGCCTGTTTCTTTTTGCACCCCCCTTTTTGCTTCTGCACCCCCCCCCCCCCCCCCCTTTGCATTTTCTTTTATTTTTTATATTTTTTGCATATATTTTATTTTGACTTGCATTATTTTATTTTCTGAACATTATAAAATCATAAAAATATTTTCTTATTTTTTTGCATTTTATTTTATTATTTTTATTATTTTTTGGCATAAAAATAGTTTATTAGGTTTAATAGAATTTATTTTCTTAAATAGACTTGTAAATAATATTAAAATACTTATACATTTTATTTTATTATATTATACACATAAAATGTTATTTTCTCACATATTTTTTTAATATTTATATATAATATTATTATTATTTTTCTTAAACAAAAATGGACAAGAATATTAGAAAACATATATTTTTCTTTTAAAAAATTAGGGTTTCCCTTTTCAAAAATAATATTATTATTTTTTCTTATTTTTAGGACTTTGATAATATTATTTTCTCATACATAAAACAATTCCAAAACATTTTCTTGCATATTTACATTTTATTGCATATTTAAATAATTGTTTATTTATTTATTGTACAATAAATTCAATTGGGTTGTAATAGTAAATTAGGGTTTTATTTAGTGCAAATATCCCCATTCAAAACTTGTATCCCCCCTCCCATAATATTGTTGTAATAGTTTAGATTTACTTTACGCATTTTATTGCTTTCATATACCATGATAGTAAACTAGGGTTTTGTATGCAAAGACAAAAAAATCAAACAAATAGCATGACCTAAC